TCAGAGACCCACACTCTGTTTGGGTTGAGCAGTAGTGTCAGGAATAACAGACAAGTCTGGATGTCCCCATGTATCTGCCAGTTTTGGAACAACTCAAATTCCATAGGTAATTAGGGTTCCACAATATTTTGATGTTTTAAAAAAATCTGTGGTTAATTGCATAGGTGATAAGGAAAACTGTAGTCTCAAGTCAGGTAAACTGTTCTGTTAGCAGAACAATCTTGGGCCCTCACAAAAAGTCTGTATCACCCCTCATTTAATTAATTCCCATCAGTATAATAAATATTTGGCAGGGACATGAAATAACACAGCTGACAAAAGAACAAAGCTAAAAGCCATGCTGTGAAACAGGAATGTAGAGCAATAAAATATTCTGAGATGGTGGCTTTGGTGTATGACTGCTTATTATGCTAGGCTTTATGGCTTCATATGTGTACGTATAGAGTGCCACGTGTATTGTGGTAATGGAGAAATGAAACCAGAGAAAGACCATATATACAAATCCCAATTTTGTGTGCTGCTCTTGATCATACTCTTCCCAATGTGTTATGCCATGTGTCCCCTGACCTGGCTAGCCCAATCTTGTCAGATCTCGGAAGCTAAGCAGGGTTGGCCCTGGGTAGTATTTGGATGGGAGACCTCCAAGGAGTACCAGGGTCATGATGCAGAGGAAGGCCACAGCCAACCACCTCTTGCCTTGAAAACCCTACAGTCACCATAAGTGCCTCTGTATTCCAGTGTGAATGGTTCTTGCTGTTCTTTTCCACCCTTCTCGAGAAGCAGAGTCTGGTCCTTGGATCCATGCACAGCATAGCTCAGTAGTGTCTTAGGTGAAGGAAGAGAAGACAGTAGCTCCAGTTGGGATGCAAGGGAAGAAAAGCCAGCACAGGGGGGGTGGGGTATCGCATTCCCTGAGTTACCCTTGCCATTGTTACTTGCCCTTCTCGCTCCACAGATACAACGTAAAAGGTTGACGAGGCAGGGGTTTTCTGGCATAGCTCAGGGGATGCTTTGCTTCCTGCCTTCCAGTGTCTCAGCGGGAGTCAGTGTACCGAGTGTTGTCTGTTGTAGGGGTGCCTAATCGCTTCACCAAGTGGGCTGCTAATGGATTTTTATGTGGGACTCATTAATGTGGCAGCAGTGTATCCAGATGTTTGGGACTTTCTTAGTCATGTGTGCTGCATTGCCCCAGTGTCCCCTACTGAGAGCCCATCAGGCAGGACACCGTTTGGTAACATAGTATTTGTTGGCAGGGGTCATTTGCTGATGTATGTGTCCAGGAAGAAGCTGAGTCAGGCTCATCGTATGGGTATGAAGACATGGGTAAACTGAGGTGGGCACAATTCTTTGGCTTGAGGAATCTACAGTGGGTTAGAGAAAGAAAGACATCAGGTCAGTCCTTAGAGCTGATTTGCATACAGTCCCCTTAACATAGCAAGATGTAGGCTGATGTGATCCAGGTTTCTTCTCACCCCCTTGTGTTGATTAGATGTTCATACTGAAGATCCCTTTGGGAATCTGGTGTGGAAGGTGTTTAAAAGAGGCATTAAGGTAGAGAAGGCTCAGCGGGAAGCTGTTCAGCAAACATTTAGGGCCAAGCTTGTGCTTGCAGCCAGTGTAGTAGATTAAACTTGATCTTAGCAGAAGAGCATTACACGTCTGTGTCAAAAGCTGAGCCTCAAAACAAAGCTCTTTCCATTCTACATGGCCTCCTCCTGCTTGAGAGCCTGAGGAGGTTTCTCTTGGGCAAGGATTGAGTCACAGCTGCTGCTACTTCTGCTGCCGATAGCTCTGTCACTGAAGTCGGTCCAGTGGTGTGGCTTTCACTTGTTCTCACAGATAGGAGACATGACTAAACAGAAGTGACAGAGGCTTGCAGAAGAGATTGGGCAGAGCACATAGCCAGAGTGGAGGCTTCTGGGCAGCGGGCAGCTATACGCACCTCTCGTCTTCTACCAAGTTCAAAAGGGGGGAATATCTTGACACTTCTTGTATGTGCCGATAGCCACTCCCTATGAGGTTTATTAGCCAAGACCTGGGAAAGGCAAAGAGTTTGCGCCCCTGTGTGTGTTCCCATGCCCATTTATTAAGCCAACCGCATTATCTCCCTTCAGCTTCTTTGTGGTTCTCACCGATTATGCCCATTTTTCTGAACCCTAAGCTCGATCCTGAAAAGTGTTGTTCATCCTGTCTCCTGCTTCTGTGTCCTCCATTTAATACTTGGCTCAGAGTTTAGCTGTGCTTTTACTCTCCAGTGCTACTAGGAAGGGTGGTCAGCAGATACAGGGTAATCCTGGTATTGCAGACTCAAGTATTTGCATGTTTGAGTGGGGGGTTCTCCTAGGCAGGCACCCCCTTCATCCCCCTATCAGACTGCACTCATTTATTATACCATCTGTTTTCTCAGTGCCGGAGATGATGCTGGGGATATGTGACTTGGGGCACTCAGGCGGAAACTGGCCTGCACAAGGCCAGGCATGTGTTTGCCTCCTAGCAGTGCAGCGGTCAGCAGCAAATTCTTTGCAGCCGCCTCCTCCTCTCAGTATGGGAGAGAGTGAGTGAGGGCCTGGAAGTATATGAGATGCAGAAACATGGACTATATGAAGAAGACAAAATCAGCAGAGTGTTGGGGGAAGGGAGAGAGGCCAAAAAAGTAAGCCGCGGTTAGGAGACCACATATGGATGAGGTAAAAGGGAAGGACAGTTGAAGGGGGAAAACAAAGATCATCTAAAGGAGGTGTGGGCAGCCAGCGGTCGTAGATCTGGATGAAGAGAGAGTGATAGAAGGGTGTCCCTTGGTACATTTAGAAAACCACCACATGAAAAAAAGCCATGAAAAGCATGAATTAATACTGATGGGCTAGACTGTAGGACAGGAGAAGGTAGAGTGAGAAATGGGTTGTGTGAACATGTAAGGAAAGTGACTGAAAGGGGGATATATATATATGTATATATATATATATATATACCGTATTTTCCGGCGTATAAGACGACTGGGCGTATAAGACGACCCCCAACTTTTCCAGTTAAAATATAGAGTTTTCCAGTTAAAATATAGAGCTGTGCTGATGCTTCTGGCGTACCGGCGTATAAGACGACCCCCCACTTCTGAGACGATTTCCCTGGGTTAAAAAGTAGTCTTATACGCAGGAAAATACGGTACATACATACACACACACACACACACACACATATATACACACACATATATAGTCAGAATGAAAGAAACTTTGTGAACAAGGTGAAGGGAGGTGAGCATCAAGAAGACACTACAGTGTGTAGGTGAAAGGACTCCTCCTCAGATTGTCAGGGAGACACCATGCCATCTTTGACAGGTTGTCAGGGATGCAGGAGTTTGGTTCCTGAAATGCATGAAAGAGAAGGAAATTGTGTGCTAGTTGTTACAAATGTTGGCATACTATGGTTCTTTAACAGTACAAAAGGATAGGTGGCCAATAGTATAACTAATGGTAACTGTCGTCGTGGAGTAGGTAAACTGAACTCTCTTGCTGAGTTAAGAAGATATATTGACAATACAAGTATAAGTCAGGGAACGCTGAGGTGGCGAAATGAATGTCTAGTGTTTAGAATGTGAGGATGTATGTTTCCCATTGACATGTGTACCAAATCATTTCCTGTTACTAGAATTCAGAGCACATTGAAAGCCTCCCTTTAGACTTGTAGTTTGCCCATATTTTAATACAGTTAAACTTGAAAGGACTTAATGGTTATGCTGGGTCAATCCCCTTACTACCTCAGATCTTATATACATGGCCAAATGCAATGACCAGTATGGAAACAATGATATTGTATCTTTACTAGTTTTATCTTTGCTTCCAGTGAAACAAATGAAGAGAGGAGTAGCTCAGTTGACACACAATAGTACAGTAATGTAGGTCACAGATTCTATACGTTCTTTCTTCCAGGATGAATGCAAAAGATAATTGCTTGTTAGGGTAGGGTTAAGAAGTTCTGACAGTATAATGTTTCTGTATTTTATCTTTGTCCTTTTCTTCTCTTTATTAGACCTCGTATTGTTTGTTAACCAGAGCCAAGGTAAGAAGAACGGGGAATTCAAAGCTTCTCACTTCAAAACAATTCATAAGATCGTGTGCAGTTAGATAGGAAGGAAAGAGGAATTAGGTATGCAAATGAGCTCCAGAAATCCACTGAAGATCTCTGAACATTCAAAAGCCATATTGCATATGAGGTTGAAGTAGGTTCCCTGTTCCCTTTATACAGCCCCATGTTTCTTATTCTGTTTACATGTCTACTTTGACAGTTGCATTGGAGAATAAGGAATCGGGTGCTCCACACAGGGAACTAAGAACCAACTTCATCCTCATCTCGTCTCTTAAGACCAGAGAGGCACTTACTGCATCTCCTCCTGGATCCACCAAGGAACAAGGAGGGGGGAGCAAGAATTCTGTACAGCTGAATTCCACTCTCTGGAACCTTCTACCTCAACAAATAATTCCAGTGGCCCGGAAAGCTGCAAACAGATGAGATTTGTGCCAATATATGTGGAGAGGGGGCGGGAGATGCAGCGCGTGTCTCCACGGAGACAGAGTGTCAGAACATTAAAGGTATGGAGAACTTCTCTGGGTTGGTGTATGGCAGCACTATATAGGACCTATGCGTAAGATGGTCCATCACAATTCTCATGTCTCTGGCCATTTTATTTATTTATACCTCGCTGTTCTTCCCAATGTGGACCAAAAGCACATTACAACATCATTCTCCCTGTCTCCATTTTATCCTCACAACAGTCCTGTGAGGTAGGTTAGACCAATGAGAGAGGGCAGCTGACCCGAGGTCCAATCACCAACCTTCCATGGCAGAGCAGGAATTTGAACCTGGGTTTCCCAGGTCCTAGTCCGACTCTCTACCCACTACACCATGCTGTCACATTTCCCCCCTCCTAATATCGTACATGAAAAAGAGTAAGTTTGAAGATGTCCTTAATAGTTGAGTTTACTTCTCAAGACAATTAGTTTTAACATGCACCTGCTTGCATGAGCTACCTAAGCTGAGCATATGTTACTTGTCTAATGCAACATTCTGTTCTCATCTTGATTTTCTGGAGATGCGTTTGACTTCTGACTGGGTGAAAATGTCTTAGCTGATACTGTTAGTAAGGCTTCTAATTATGCCTCCTCTGCCTGCCTGTCTTACTAACATTCGGCTAAGGTTATGTTTTGTAAGCACATATATCTTTCCCCCCCAAGTATAGTATATGTGTGTAGTGAACTATTAAATAGCTTTTGACAGAGCAATTCTGGTTCTCTGCAGAAATCCAAATATTCTGGCTTTGTTTGCTGAAGGTTTGCTTTTACAGCTAGTGGATCCCACTACTGCAGGGAAACATGTGGATCCCATTCTAGTTCAGAAAGAGACAGACTCCCTAGTATATCCGTTCTATTTGATTTTATGGGTCTGTTATCAGCCCATGTATACATATAATTGATGAACAGTGGTGGCAGTGTCAAGGATTAATCACTCCCTCAAATGCAGATTATGCAGTCCTCTGAGTGTATTCAGTTGCCTGAGCCTTGGTGGTAAAAGCAGTCCGCTCAGATTAGGCACACCACTGGGAATGGGAATGGGTGGATTGTATGGAGCTACTCCATCATAAGTGGCACACTGGACATCTTTGTTCATGGTTATGCTTTCTGATTATACATCACTGGGCTTGGACAAGCTGTGATGCATGCTCCTCACTGGCATTAACAACACCACTGGGTTACGGTCAGAAAGAGGTTGTACGTGCAGTGTCTCATTCAAAGAAGTGTCTCATTTAAAGAAGTCTTTATGGGGGGCTTGGTCCTTCCTCCTTTTTCTTGCTGATTGCCTCACATATCCCTGCTTCCTTATCATTCAGTTCTCTGCAGTCTGAGTCTCCCTTCCTCTGTCTTCATTTTTGCATTGTGCTACATTTCTTCCTGTTCTCTCACATAATTTCTTTTCAGGCAGGGTACAACTTCCAGTTACCTGAGTGGGGGGGGGGGGTAGTGTTGCCTTAGGCACACCTTTAGCTAATCCCCCTCTCCTCTTGTCTGTCTCCTTCTCCTCGTTCTTTCTCTCTCCCTTTGAACTAAGCTGTGAATTCTATCAGCATCATAGCAGGACAAGCTGCAAAACTGAAATTCCCAGAGGGACAGGTTGTGATCATTTTATTTTTACATTGCCCTTGGATCTGAAAGGTGGTTTTTTCCGGGGGGGGGAGGGGCAGGGCGTGTGCCAAGGGGGGGAATACAGTCAAGAACAAACAGAGTTTAAGATGAATATAGGTCAGTTACAGGGGAGACCCCCTTAAGTGGTGCATGTGTAACACAGCAGTATCTTGTTTCTGGCAAGATACCAAAGGCATAGCAACTGAGCACTAGAGCTACACGAATATATTGGATGCATTATCCATCACATTGAAGGTATGTTACCAGGATATGTGCCAATCTATCAAAAAACAATCACCCTAAACCAGCAAAAGAGAGGTCAAAGCAGTTGCTGGACTCTGGTTTCAGCTGAGGTGAGTGTCTGTGATGTTCGTCTGAGTCCCTGGATCTTTCAGTGCACTGGGCCACTGACTGACTGTTGCCAGTACATTCCTGGTGAGACTGTGCCACCTCAGAAGCCAGCCTGGCCATCTTGCAGATGCCTCTCCCTTGTCCCAAAATGTTTTCAAGAGGCTTTAAGCAGGTGGCTGTGTGTAATCACACCTTTTCTAATTGCAGCTGTGTTTTTTTTTTTTTTTTACTCTAGCAATTGCCAGTGGGAACAGAATTCATACCTACTACAGAGCATGTCCTCCATCTACATCCTTTTGAGTGGTTAACGACACTTGAGATTGCAAATGCTATAGCATTGGGATTTGGGTGCAGCATGTGGGTGTTTATATATGTGTATGTGGCTTTGCAGAATAGTCAGTATATAAGTTAAAATATGTGCTTTCTTTGTGGTCAGGAAACGCGCGCTGAGCCAGAGATGAATGCAAACAACCAACAGCCTAAGGCATTTGACAGGCATGTCCAATCCCATCCCCCACAGTGGACCAAATTAGATGAATTGCCTCCAGATACTTGTCTTTAAGGTTTCTTAGGAATTAGCCGTCTCCCAGGATTTTAGTAGAATGTACCAATAACTATAACCAGGGCAATGTCTGCTTTGTAGAAAAAAACCAGAAAACAGTATCTGAAAAATCCAAGTTCTGTGCAAAACATTTGGAATGATTTAGATAGATTAGCTCAAATTGAGCAGATTTGCATAGTTTCACTTATTTTGCAAAAAAATTATTCTGTTACATTTACTGTTTTGCCAGATAGTAATTGGAAGACAGGCGCTAACCAGGCCACCGACATCAAGGACCTCTGAACCCTGGATATCTTATCCTAGCCCATGGACTTCTGAGATTTCAGCAGACTTTGTTCAACCACTTTGAAGCATGTTTTTGCAGCCATAAGCATTGGAACTTCTTTCTTTTAAAAAAGTAAACGTTGAGATTTTTTGGAAACTGAATGCTGTGCTCAGAGCATCATTCTGCATATTTTCTGTACTCCCATATGTATTTACAGTGAACATAAAGCTGTGCTTGTAAGAAGGGTTGCCAGATCTCAGGCTTTGGCCCTTAGATCCAGGCTTTGGGGCTCATTCCCAGGACAACAGGTCATAATCACAGTATTTTCAGCAAAGTTGAACACTTGAGTTCAGCACTTAGCCCTTTCTCTGCTCCTTTCAGCAGTTGGTTTTCATAAACCTCCTCCATGTTGGAAATTGTGTTAATCCTCCATATTATGTATATACAAGTGGGAACCTTATGAGACTCATGGTGTGTGAGGAGACCACTGGGACAGTAACTTGCCAGGTGACTTGTTGCTCCTAACCCTCCAAGAGACTTGCAGCTGTCTCCTTTCCCGTAGCCCTGCCCACCCATCCCCCTCTCTGCATTTTGGGTATGGATGGAGGGCACTGGAGGCTCCCATTCTTCCTCCCCCACCCACCCACTGCCAGCACTGCCACCTCAGCTCTGGTTTGAGTGACTGTGGGCAGGTGGCAGAGGGCCCCCTTCTTCCTTTTCCACCTGCCTGCCATGTTGGTGGTTTTGGTGTGTGTGGGGGGGGGATGTCAGAGGCTTCTCTTTGCCTCTAGCTAGGCTGCCTCAGTGACAGATGGAAGAGAAAAAGGCTCTCAGGAGACAGTTATCTGCTCTATGTTTGGGGAGGTTGGACCCCCTTTTTTTAGGTTTCAGGTTTTTCTGCAAACCTAGGGACATCACCTAAGTTTGGAGAAAAATTTCCCTCCGGTCATTGTGGCCCTGATCTACAGATTTAAGTATCCACAGATGGGGTCATGTTGACTATTACATATATTGATATACATAAACGTGCCTCATGTTCAGTGGAATTGCCACTATAAAACTGTGCCGGGAACCTTCCACCTCTCAAACTTTCAGAGCAAGCTCTTTGGTTCAAAAAAGCCAGCTAAATCTGCCTGAGTCGAAGTAAAACAAGCCAAGATAATTCACCTAGCATCACTAACCCTTGTCCTTAGGTGGGGGAGCAGGCACATTCCTCTGTCCTCTCAACAGATGGAGAAGTGGCAAAAGTTTTCTCATCACTTAATCTACATGCTAGTAAAGGCTGCAAAGGCTGTACCCAAAGGCACAAGAACCCGTTAAGGAAAAAACAAAGTTAACAGTCCTTAGGATAAGCAGTTCAGGGAGCTGCAGAACAGGCAGTTAAAGCACTAACGGAGCTTTGTTGTGGTTTCTGCTTCTCCTAAAAGCAGCTCCGCAGTCTTTGCAAGAGACTGCTGTGTCTAAAAACATTGGCTGTAATCCACAGTGCCCCTTGAGGCACATGTCAAATAGGCGCAAACTCTTTTTTTAAAGGCTGGGGGTGGGGAATAGGGTCCTTAGAGGCTCACAGAGTGCTCCAGGGATAGGCCTTTTCATAACCTTTGGAGCAGCTGAGAATCATCCCACTTTTCCCCAGTGCTGACACACTGTAAGAAAGATACGCAGCCTCCTGTTTTCCATTGACCATGAACAGATGGTTTACATCTTGGCCAATCAGAACATTGACAATGGTCAAGGAGCTGCTTGCCTAACAACTGCCTGCACTTCCCTGGGAGAGGCCTAACTGCAAGAACTGCTGCTTCGTTTCAAGCTGGCTTCCTTGCGTTTGACAAAAAACGGTCTTCAGTTCTACGAAGAGGTAACTGGCTTTCTGAATCAGAGGTGTTTTGCTGAACTGTACGCAATTCCCTCTTCCCTAAGTCCAAACCAATGGTCCCTCCAATATCTGTCCAATGTTTTAACTGCCACAGCGCACTGGCTTCCTGAAGTCCATACCTGTATACATAAATCTGCATATAGTCTCACACAAACATTAAATCAGTTAATAGATCCCTGTAGAATTAGTAAAAGTTTTACATAACAACTTAAGTGGTGCTTTGCTTCATTAGACCAGTAGTCTTATCTAATCCAGCAAACCTTTTCGCACAGTGGTCAACCAGTTGTTCTGCCTGTTTTTAATTTTAGAGAGGACAGAGCCACTGGTGACTATTTGCAAAAATAGCTGAGGCCACAGGCTTGTAATTTCTGAGTGTCCCAAAATTTGTGAATACCAGAAACTGGGAGCAAGCGGGAGAGAGCTCACTCCTCAGTTTGGCTTGTGCCTTCTTCAGTAACATCTGATCCGAGATGGGATATTTAGTTCCACTGATCAATGAGCTGATCCACTGTAGCAGTCCTTGATTTTTCTGTTTAATGGCCACTCCCTAGGCAAGCATGTCTGCTCCTTACAGAATTCAGGTGATGACAATCCCTGGAGAGGGCTGTGGCTGTGGACCTGTGTCTTTTAGAGGCCCAGATGGACAACCCGAGTGAGCTGCGGAGTGCGTTTTAGCAGGTGGAAACCTAAAGCCGCAGAGGAGGCTGCCTTTCATCTGCTACCTGTGCCTGTCACACTAGAACGGAACTGTTGTGTAGTGGGTTCGACACATGAAGAAACTGAACACAGCGTGATTATCAGCTCATGATTTACTGGTACACAACAAAACACCACACAAACGGTATACAGTCCCTGATATACACCCACAAGTTCCATTGGAGGGTTTGAACTTCCCGCCACAGTTCCTATAGGTGCTAACTGGGAGGTTCAGGATCCCAGTCTCTATTGTTCCTAGGAGACAAGCTCTGGTTGCAGACCGCTGTCACCTAGTGGCAGTCAGCGGACATAACACCCCTCCCCCTGTAGTTCCAGCCCACCCTAGGTGATATAGTCCTTGAGATAGGCCAGGGGCCAATGCTCCCATGTGGAACGCCTAGGAGCCGGGACTGGGGCATCAGAAGCCCTGGCGGGCGGGGGTACTGGAGCACTCGGCTGCGGAGGTGGAGGAGCCTCTTCTGGCGCAGAGGCAGGCAGCCCGCCAGCCTGCTCCTGTGAACTGCCATCGGTGGGTGTGAAATCAGGGCTGTCTGGCAGGTCCACGTCAAGGTTACCTGGAGCAGGGACGTTCTCTGAAGCTGGGAGCAGGCGCCGTCTCAGCTGGTCAACATGCCGCCGCAGGACCTGGCTGTCTTCCATAGAAACCATGTACGACATGGGACCTGTAGGACCCGCTAGCCATGGGGGGCCCTTGCCGTAGTTCCGGAAGTACACTGTGTCTTCCGGCGTCCTGGTTGATTCCCAAGTTTGTGTGGGTGTGCTAGGCGGAGACAGTTGGATGGCTTGGCATTGCTGGCAGCGCTTCACCCAAGTCTCCACTTCCGCGTCAATTCCTGGCCACCAAACATAACACCTGGCTAGGGCCTTCATGTGGACGATCCTGGGGTGGGCTTCGTGCAGGGCCTTTAGGACTTGGTTCCACAGGGTGCTGGGGACTACTACCCTATCCCCCCACAGGAGGCATCCCTTGTAGGTGGACAGCTCGTCTCGGCATGTTGTGAAGGCCGTGAACTCGGGCCCTGCTGCAGCCGTGGGCCATCCCCTCACCACCCAGCCCAGTATACAGGAGAGGATGGGGTCCCTGGCCGAGCGGCGAGCAATGTCCTCGGCCTGAAGGGGAGACTCAGGGAGATCCTCGACCTGCAGGACGTGGTGTGCAGGAGCCAGGTCGGCCTCGACAAACAGCAGGGCCAGGTGGCTAAGGATGTCGGCGTGACCCATAGCCTTCCTGGGGCGGTGCTCGAGGGTGTAATTGTAGCCAGACAAAAAAATGGACCACCAGAGGACCGCAAGAGGATCTCCCGCGTCTGATGGTCCGCAGCGAAGAGGCCGAGAAGCGGGCGATGGTCCGTGGCGATGGTGAAGGGCCGGCTGTAGACGAAGTCATGGAACTTCTTAACGCCCGCCACTATAGCTAGACCCTTGCATTCGATCTGGGTGTAGTTCCTCTCTGCCGCCGACAGCGTCCGGGAGTAGTATGCGACGGGCACCTCCCGCCCGTCCGGGAGCCGGTGGGCCAACACAGCACCAACACCATATAGAGAAGTGTCGCAGGCTAGGACCACTGACAAAGTTTCATCAAAGTGCACCAGTACTTTATTAGAGATTAGCAGCGCTTTGACCCCCTTGAAAGTGGCAGCCTGGTGGGAGCCCCAAGTCCATTGGGCTTGCTTATCCAAGAGGCGATGCAAGGGCTTAGCTACTGCCGTCTTATAGAGAAGGAAGGTGTGGTAAAAGTTCAAAAGCCCCAGGAACGTCTGGAGCTTTGCCTTGGACTAGGGTGGGGGAGCCTCAATGATGGCCTTTATCTTGTCCCTAGCCGGATGGCGGCCATCCACGTCGACCATGAAGCCCAGGAAGTTGATGGACGGAACCCCTAGAAAGCACTTCTCCCGCTTCACTTTTAGCCCAGCCTTGTGGAGGCAGCGGAGGACGATGTGCAGTCTGGAGGCGAACTCAGCTGGTGTCGCTGCAGTGATCAGCACATCGTCGAAAAACGGTGTGACACCCGGAATCCCTTTCAGAAGCGAATCCATTAGCTGCTGGAAAAGGCCCAGGGCTACGCTCACCCCAAACTGTAGTCTTTTTACTTTTTACTTTGCGTGACGATAGTTTACGCAGCAGCGGTTGCCTCGTCAACCGGGAGCTGTTGGTAAGCCTGGGCGAGATCAAGTTTACCAAAGATCTTTGCCGCTGCCAAAGAGGCTAGCACATGGCTCACTACCTGGACCGGGTAAGCGTGGTCCTGAAGAGCCTTATTAAGTGTGCACTAGTAGTCTGCGCAGATGCAGATGTCCCCGTTCAGCTTCACGGGGGTGACGATGGGGGGTCTCCCATGCTTCGTGGGAGACCTGTTCCAGTACCCCTTGTTCTATGAGGCGGTCACATTCTGCATCAATTTTTGGTCTCAGTGCGAACGGGACCTTCCTGGAATGCATGCAGATGGGAGCCATGTGGGGGTCGAGCTGCAGGGACATGGGGGGACCCATGTAGCACCCCAGAA